GACGTATCTACCGAAACATTTATATAGGGATTACCTGTTACATAATGTCTTATCTATGAAGATAGTAATAGTATTGTTCAAGAAAGCCCTCTGTGACCTGGCCAGAAACCAGCCAAAAGTACACGCGATATTGAATTGTTATACTGAATGCCGTATAAGAGCCCTGTAGCACGCGGGGTGTGACAGACGGTGAATCAAACACTCGCCTACCCGTCAAGGCAGAAGTGTTGTTATGGGCAGAATGCACGTTATGTGTTTTACATACTGACATCATCAGTGAATTACCAGGGACAGAAACATTAAAAAACAAACTGTTCACGAGAGACAGAGTATTGTTGTTTAACTTCAGCATTACTGATTGCGTGAATGTCAGTGGGGACTCTGCCAGTGCCTAGGCAGCCAAATGCCTATACAGCCATGTCACTGATGCATATGGTAACAGAAGTGCATCTATTGTACCAGTATGTTGCACCAGTATGGATTTGGAAACTCCATCATCTGGGGATTGAAATACATTTGTAACATAACTCAAGTAGTGATTCATTTATATTTATACAGTAGTGGAAACGGGAACTTTTACTGATTTGGATTTTTTAAATAAACAAGCGTGATTACGTAATGAATATGAACCTTATCGAGATTACAAAACTTCTAAAGGATTAGGATACAACACGAAGTATTGGACATCTGCATTTACAAGTAGACAGACATATATTTTATTTTATTTAAGTATAGCCCCTTTACATAAAACTTTAGTATATACAAATAGATAATTATATATACACACACGGCCACTCTATTCACAGTCATGGAAGACTTACGGTCATACATCATTCATCAATATTGTAAATTGCATGCGGGAATACATTTCTGCCATGCTGCCATGGCTACACCTATAAGTTATTATCATATGGTTGAGGGTTACATATTATTTTATATTACCGGATCAGGTCAAATGTATTTAAACGATTACACCCATGTTTGATGGTGGCTAAAAATGAAACAACAAGAAATGGTTATTCGAAGGTGATGTATTTGAGTCCGGTATCATATCAATGACATCTCAAGGAACATGAGGATCACAATTTCACAGTAGACAGTATTGAGCGGAGTGAAGTGGGAATTTGTGCCCGGCAGTGAAGTAAGGCGAATGTTATCACCTTGGACACAAACATATATCTTTCCATATGAGCTTAAAAACGAACTGGTGTTTCCAACCCTTAAGTCAGTCTGTTTGGGAATGGAGAACCTATTTTAAACTTCAAATTAATACTCTCTTGTGTTCTGTGTACAGCTTTAAAGTATTTCAACAAGGGCCTCATAAACGTACCAAAATATACTGGACTTCCATCAAACAATACCTACCAGAACAAAGATGCATTCCAATGTGAGCAGCATGTCGCCGAGTATAGGCTAACTAAAGCATCATGAATGTAGCAAATAGTGAACGTACCCTGGACTTAAGCCTACTTTTCAAAACAGTACAGGTTTACCCTACCAATACGGCATCGTACGTGAGAAGACATTGGTTCCATTGTTTGTGGTATTGATTCAAAGAATGTTTGTCAGGCTGGGGTGCAGTACGACAGGAAATTACGGTTCTCTGTCGGAACAAGAACACAACACGTGGGTCTACCAAGGGGAGGAAATAACTCAAGCCATTAATATTTAACCAACGCCAAATGTCACCTGATTTTTACTGCAATATTGTTACCAGACTTCCAATTCATACATGCTCGCTCAGGGCTGTAGTTTCCCTTTGATTGGCCCTATGCAGTTGCTATTAGCTCCTGACCTTGTAGACTGTACGGAGAAAATGGCATGGCAAAGAAAGAGGTGCTATGGTTAATTTGAGTTTTGGGGCATATATATAGCATTCAATCACAGTCCTTAGCGGCCGGTGATTGTGAGGTTAGGAACTTCGTTTCCTGAAGGTTTTTTGTAGCTAAATTTGTAGAGCTTAACAATGACTTTTAGGACTCCGTGCTATGAACAATTAGAGTCACACGCCATCTTTAAGAAGCGTTTAGGTTTAAAGATGTACTGAGGGCTTTGGCCATGATGCAAAGAATACAAGCCTGGAATGTAGCCAATACTGAGAGGTCTAAACACGTGGATTACACAGATCATTATAACAGGAATGTTTACAAAGGATGGCCTGCTACCGAATTCAGATAACGGTAATGGCAAGACGGCCACCACCAGCACATACAACTCCAAACGTGTTATTTCACAAGCCAATAGCCATGTACCATAGTGGATAAAAGGGATACGTCTTAAAGGTTAATTGACATAACTACAACAAAGGTAAACTGAGTAACTCGAATACAACGATTGCAGGACAATCATACAATCATTAAAACCAGATACATCGCAGAGATAATCAGTGGGTCGTGTATCGTGTATTCTTGATGAGAATGTTAGTGATTTGCAGATAAGCTAAGTATGCAATAGTGTGTATGTGCGTGCGTGCGTGCGCGTGTGTGCGTTGCCACCTGATTCATTTCAAAATAAATAAATTGTTACTGATTTGCTAAACCAAGCAATAATTATTACTTTCGCTTTTATTTTTTTATAAACAGAAAGAGAAGCAACGTAAGGATATATTAATTAAAACGTCTTGATATATAATTCATTTGACACAACATTATAAATTCCAACTTCAAATACATCTACACGAAGGTTCAGATGTGTTCATATAACTCTTCTTTTGGGGCTCGTATTGGCTTCAAGGTAGACACAATTTTATGGATAACAACTTCTTTAATACTGTAAAGAGCGACGTTTCGGTATAGATCCTTATACCGTTGTCAAGCAGGACTGACAACGTATTGGTTTGTTTTTTTAATCGTGCTGGTATTTTCAAGATGTGGTAAAAATGCTTATTGAAAAGAAATCGTATTAGTTTATGGATCGACATTGGTGATATAAAAAAAGACGGGTGTATAAAGTATGACTCGTCAGAATATGCCCTGAACCCAAAAGGAGTAATAAAGGCGAGCAACAACACCAACAGCAGCAGCAATTGCAGCAGCAACACAGACGTTTCTTATTTACGTTAGCATCACGCTTCGTTTTTTTAATTGGTGACATCTGTGTGATTGTTTTCTAAGTTACTTTGACACTCGAGATGGTACTAGATTGGATAGAGGCATAACTGTCTTTGTCTTCAGTTGTTTCTGTGCTTCTGTCCGGGATGGTTAAGACAACGCGCAACATAAAATGTATCATAACAGTTTTTTATCTCTTTCAGCTCAGCAACATTATGTTTTCTCTGCCCCCATGCGATTCTATATTGTTTTACAAACACCTATAGTGTGCATGCATTGATCCCTTTGATAGGTTGTATAGAAGTTCTTTGTACACTCATGTTCTCTCACGACAGACTACTCCGTGAACAACTATCCACCACACACTAACATATGTCTGCACCTGTCAACACGGAGACACCTTGGATGTCGGTTTCTAACATAGGTAATCGTGTTACAAGTCGTAAGCACATATATCACAACAGACACGGCGATGACAAATCCTTAGATATACACCATCTACACTAAAGTACTTACTGCAGATTCATATCGATTTAGTCGTCCCTCGGGGATGTAAACAACGGGAAATTATAGGGGACGGATATGCATGATTTTCAGTTAAATGAATTGTTTAATATAAACTGCAACTAGAATTATTATATATACACATCTAGCTTGGCATGTACAATTCATGTGTTACATCTAACCTTCATTGATGTATGTATTGCAACATGTCTTATGTGTAATGAAGCGGTATTAACAATTGTTTACCAATCCATTTTTACACTTTTGTGAAAATAAATATGTTTAAACGATGCGTGAAAGTCCAAAAGCACTCATATTCTGTGAAAAATCTTGACTCATATCTAATTTAAGTTGACTTTTAAATTCCTACCTAAATGACATTTATTAATTTCTTTCTAATCTTCGTTGACAACTAAGTATGCACCTACATGATTATATTTCAGTCATTGATATTTCAATTAGCATGGATGGTGTGACAATCCTGGGTAGACATTCCACAGATATCGTTTTTCTTGTTAAATTGCAAACTATTTTCTTTAAAATTAAGTCAATATCACGTGATCCATTCTTTTGAAGTGTTTGTGAATGTAATTAATTTCAAGCGTCTGTTCAGACACATCTTCATGTGTCGTGTGTCGTTTCATAATCATCAGAATTCTCCCCCAACAAATACAATTAACTCTTGCGGTTTTGGTAACCGAAAATCAATACTCGGTTTTTCATTTCCTATGTTTTCCTCGTCCAGATATGAAAGGGAAAATATGTCTAAACGACTTGTATCACGTGTCGGACACTAATCCTTCAAAATAGCATCGCGCATTTCAAATGATCCGGCATATGAGGTCAGCTGATCCCAGCGTGGTCTAGTTCATACCCAATTATGAAAGATCCTCTTCGCCGCGTGGCGCTCTGGGAAAGTGTAAAAACCTGAACGACATTTATGAAAACTTGAGTGAGAGTTTCGTTTGATGTTGTTTCTCTGACGTGTTTTGCTTCAAAAGAAGGTCAAATTCCATCTAGAATTACTTATTGAAGATGCTACGTACGACTATGGGAGGATATTACATCATTTATAACTTGTTGGTGTTTTAACGATGCTCACAATATTGATCTTAGCGTGGATGCTGAAACGGATACCTGATTGGTTTTTATAAAGTGCGCGTGTGTTGTCTTATTTAAAGTTCGTAAGAAAACGTCTTATGAAACCAAACCTGTGGGGATATGGGGAACATGAATCTGCTCGATAATAATTCTTAAACTTGTCTCTGAAATAAGCGTATAATAAACCAACTATCATAAAGGTGTCTGATATATAACATTAACAATCACGCTAACAACACGACGAACTATCGAAAACTTTTGAAAACACCCGAGTCACTTAAGACCGCTCATAGGCCACAGCGCTGTGGGAAGAAAATAAAACATTATGAAAGAGTGTCAACTTACGGCTGAGCCGAGATGAGGTGGAAAGCCGTGATTGTAGATAATAGGGCAACGGCCCCGGCTTGCCCAAACATTGTCAGCGAGTGGAGAGAAGGCCACTTGTACACTGACCGTCTCGTTGTCAATGGATGTAATATAGTCCCACTCTGCACCGTCTCACTACCTTGACCAGCGAATCAATACGCGCTGACTTCCGCAGGCGCTACATCAACGCCTAAGCACAGCATGAGGAAATTAAACAATGAGGTTGCACAAATGATGGGCTCCAAGACAGAGGGACAATTGTGCTGTCTTCTTTCCGTACAACATGTGCAATGATTTTAAATTTGCATGCTCCACCGCAAGTTATGGTGGGAGGTATGTTTAGGAAAGGATTTAGGACCGTGTGAGAGGGATAGGGAATTTGACAATGAGCAGGATGCAGCGGGTTGTATTGCTTCTAACTGTGCGCTTATTCTAATCTTCATGTAGAAGAGTTTTTATTCCTATTTCTAGGACGATTCGTTCCGAGATGATTGATAGTGTTAAGAATGACATTACACGGATTTGTGAAAAAAATATTATTCTGAATTATTGCAATATGCAGTGGAATATCATTACTTTAGAACATGCGGCTTTAGATCAACCGATCTCTCATATTGAAAGTGGTGGCGAAGAAGTAATGGCAGCATCGCTGAAGTATCAAAGCATCAGCGGATTCAGAGAGTTCCTCGGTGCAGAGATGCAGTAGCTGTTTTCACAGTAGCCTCACATTGTCCGCGGGGAGTCACGTCGTGCACGTGAAGTAGTAGCTGTTTTCGCAGTAGCCTCACATTGTCGGGGGGGGGGGGGGGGGGGTGCAGTATCTGTATTCCTCACATTGTCTAGGGGGAGTCACGACTTGTACTTGAAATAGTAGCTGTATTCACAGTAGCCTCACATTGTCTAGAGTGAGTTACATCATACAAGATAAATAGTAGCTGTACTCACAGTAGCCTCACATTGCCTAGAGTGAGTTACATCATACAAGATAAATAGTAGCTGTACTCACAGTAGCCCCACATTGCCTAGAGTGAGTTACATCATACAAGATAAATAGTAGCTGTACTCACAGTAGCCCCACATTGCCTAGAGTGAGTTACATCATACAAGATAAATAGTAGCTGTACTCACAGTAGCCCCACATTGCCTAGAGTGAGTTACATCATACACTGTAAATAGCAGATGTATTCATCGCATTGAGTATGGGAGTCACATAATACACCTATAAAGCCGTCGGTTCCAAATGGCATTCCCTTCCATCATATAATCAATTACATCCGCAAATCGGAAAACAAATAACGTTATCTCCAAAGTGGCATCTAAAGCGGACATAAACCTGGTCGTCACAGTCGCAGAGGAAACATGAGCTGATAACCATGGCGATACTCAATAGACATAATTCTCTCTTGAAGCTTTTTGTCAGTTTTCTTGGGAAGAACAAGAAAGCTGAAAAGGTTATTTTGGAAATTTAAGGCACAGTAAGGCCTGACAGAGATAGTATTCTTTATTTCTACATGTTTGTTTTGTCATATATAGAAAAAAGGGTGTCACTACTGGCCCTTGAAGACATGATCAGACTAAGCACATCATGTTAAGGCATAAAAAACATGTTTCAAAACAAGCCAAATAAAGAAACAAATAGGCCCCGACACTGTTCATAAACATCATCATGATCACAGTCACATTTATTTGTACAATGATACAAGATATTCATATTTTGTCTGTGATAGCAGATGCCTTTTTTGTCTGTGACACCAGATGTCTGTCTATGATTCCGGTAGCACGTTGTTTGGCCATGACAGAGTATGTACTTTATGTTTGTCTGTGGTACCCGATGCCCAATATTTTGGTCTACGATACCGATATTACGTTACGTTTGTCAACGATACCGATATTACGTTACGTTTGTCTACGATACCGATATTACGTTACGTTTGTCTACGTTACCGATATTACGTTACGTTTGTCTCCGATACCGATATTACGTTACGTTTGTCTACGTTACCGATATTACGTTACGTTTGTCTCCGATACCGATATTACGTTACGTTTGTCTACGATACCGATATTACGTTACGTTTGTCTCCGATACCGATATCACGTTACGTTTGTCTACAATACCGATAGTACGTTACGTTTGTCTCCGATACCGATATTACGTTACGTTTGTCTACGATACCGATATTACGTTACGTTTGTCTACAATACCGATAGTACGTTACGTTTGTCTACGCTATCAATATAGCACGACCAGTGAAGATCCGGTTAGAATAGGTTTTCAGCAACACATGCTTGCCGTGAAAACGTCTATGTTTGTCGTAGGAGGCGACTAATGGGATCGGGTGGTCAAGCTCGCTGACTTGGTTGATGCATGTCATCGTATCCCAAATGCGCGGATCGATACTCATGATGTCAATCACTGGATTGCCTGGTCCAGACTCGATTATTTACAGACCGTCGTCATATAGCTAGAATATTGCTGAGTGCGGCGTTAAACAACAAACAAACAAAACCATAGCACGTTACGTTTGTCTCCGTGCCGGATCCCCTTTGTTCTATGATACCAAATACCCGTTATTATTCTATGATATGATATACCCGTTATTATTCTATGATATAATACCCGTTATTATTCTATGATATAATATACCCGTTATTATTCTATGATATCATATACCCGTTATTATTCTATGATATAATATACCCGTTATTATTCTATGATATAATATACCCGTTATTATTCCATGATATAGTATACCCGTTTGTTATTTTCTGATACCAGGTGTCCATTTTTCTACTATGATACAGGAATGACCGGCTTCTATTTTTCTGTAATACCGGCAGCACGTCAGTTTGGGCTATTATACATGTAGAACGTTACTGTTGTCTATCATCTTTGTAGAACGCTATACTTGTTTATGATATTTGTCAAACGTTAACAAATATATTTGTCTATGAGACCTTCAGCGCGTTATTTCTGTCCATTATACTTTCAGAACGTTTTTTGTGCCTATCACACCGCCAGCACGTTATTTATTGTCTATCATATCGCCAGCACGTTATTTTATGTCTATCATACCTGCAGCACGTTATTTTATGTCTATCACACCTGCAACTCGTTATTTTTTTCCCATAATACCTTTATTAGCACATGATTTGTGACTATCATGTCAGTTTTGTCTATCATACCCGCAGAATGTCACGTCAGCACCTTATTTTTATCTATCATGTAGGTGGCACGTTAATTTTGTCTATTGTATCTGTAGCATTTTATTTGTGTCTTTGATATAGCATGTACGTTATGTTATGTTGTTGGTCCATGGAGCACGTTAAGTTTGTAAATGGTCCATGTAACAGGTTATGTTTGTAAATGGTCCATGTAACAGGTTATGTTTGTAAATGGTCCATGTAACAGGTTATGTTTGTAAATGGTCCATGTAACAGGTTATGTTTTTAAATGGTCCATGTAACAGGTTGTGTTTGTAAATGGTCCATGTAACAGGTTATGTTTGTAAATAGTCCATGTAGCAAGTTGTTTGTAAATGGTCCATGTAACAGGTTATGTTTGTAAATAGTCCATGTAGCAGGTTATGTTTGTAAATGGTCCATGTAACAGGTTATGTTTGTAAATGGTCCATGTAACAGGTTATGTTTGTAAATGGTCCATGTAACAGGTTATATTTGTAAATGGTCCATGTAGCAAGTTGTTTGTAAATGGTCCATGTAACAGGTTATGTTTGTAAATGGTCCATGTAGCACGTTATGTTTGTAAATAGTCCATGTAGCAAGTTGTTTGTAAATGGTCCATGTAACAGGTTATATTTGTAAATGGTCCATGTAGCAAGTTGTTTGTAAATGGTCCATGTAACAGGTTATGTTTGTAAATAGTCCATGTAGCAAGTTGTTTGTAAATAGTCCATGTAACAGGTTATGTTTTTAAATGGTCCATGTAACAGGTTATGTTTTAAAATGGTCCATGTAACAGGTTATGTTTGTAAATAGTCCATGTAGCAAGTTGTTTGTAAATGGTCCATGTAACAGGTTATGTTTGTAAATGGTCCATGTAACAGGTTATGTTTGTAAATGGTCCATGTAACAGGTTATGTTTGTAAATGGTCCATGTAACAGGTTATGTTTGTAAATAGTCCATGTAGCAAGTTGTTTGTAAATGGTCCATGTAACAGGTTATGTTTGTAAATGGTCCATGTAACAGGTTATGTTTGTAAATGGTCCATGTAACAGGTTATGTTTGTAAATAGTCCATGTAGCAAGTTGTTTGTAAATAGTCCATGTAACAGGTTATGTTTTTAAATGGTCCATGTAACAGGTTATGTTTTAAAATGGTCCATGTAACAGGTTATGTTTGTAAATAGTCCATGTAGCAAGTTGTTTGTAAATGGTCCATGTAACAGGTTATGTTTGTAAATGGTCCATGTAACAGGTTATGTTTGTAAATGGTCCATGTAACAGGTTATGTTTGTAAATGGTCCATGTAACAGGTTATGTTTGTAAATAGTCCATGTAGCAAGTTGTTTGTAAATGGTCCATGTAACAGGTTATGTTTGTAAATGGTCCATGTAACAGGTTATGTTTGTAAATGGTCCATGTAACAGGTTATGTTTGTAAATAGTCCAGGTAGGAGGTGGTGTTTGTAGATAGTCCATGTATCACGTTATGTTTGTAGATAGTCCATGTATCACGTTATGTTTGTAGATAGTCCATGTATCACGTTATGTTTGTAGATAGTCCATGTATCACGTTATGTTTGTAGATAGTCCATGTATCACGTTATGTTTGTAGATAGTCCATGTATCACGTTATGTTTGTAAATAGTTCATGTAGCACGTTATGTTTGTAAATAGTCCATCTAGCAGGTGGTGTTTGTAGATAGTCCATGTAGCACGTTATGTTTGTAGATGGTCCATGTAGCACGTGATGTTTGTAAAACGTCCATGTAGCAAGTTATGTTTGTAAATGGTAACGGATTCACGTCCCATGAGTTCATGAATCTGGATTTCGTCAACTCAGTGAATTATTTAGCGCTTCATACAATGATACATACTATCTCTTGGCCGCTAAAGGGGACAGTCGGGTAGCCTAGTGGGTAAAGCGTTCGCTCGTCACGCAAAAGACCGGGGTTCG